GGTTAAGACGCAGAGTCTTGGTGGGACCCTTTGTCTTGAGTGTATGCGATATGCGCACTCTAGCCAATCGATTCGTGGGCGGGGTCCTCCGAGAGGTGTAAGTCTCCCCACTTCCGGAGCGCTTTTCTCCCTTGTGATTCCACGAAATGTGCCCGCGATTGGGCTGGGGTATGCCAGGGCGGCTACTTTTGCGCAGTAGAGAAATCCCAAAACCTCCAACCTAGTCCGGACACTTTTAAACTAGAAGCTCTTCTATGAAACTTTTTCTAGTGTGATGAACTTAATGAACTTGTGTACTATTGATACGATATGGTATTAAATTAAACCAAAATAAGGAAACAAGGAGAAATCACCGAAAACAAGCAATTCCCACTTCTACAAGTTGTCCTAGTATTACATCTCTCAAATTCGATCCATACGTGATAGAAATGGGATATTTTCTATCCGTAACCATATCTCCGTCTAAATTTTTCGTTCTAACCCTATCGCTTTCTGTAGTTTTGTTTGTGTCTAATTTTAGGACGATAACTTTGAAACATGAAACTTGGAGACACGATTCCTGCTTTCTCTGCTACCACAAATTTGGGCAAGATCGACAATTTTCACGATTGGATAGGTGAAAGGTCGGGTTTTGAGAATCTCTTGTCTCGTTTCTGAAAATTCTACTTTTAGCTGGGCCATATTATTTTCACATCCAGCCGACTTTACTCCAGTTTGCACTACTGAACTGGCTCGTGCTGCTCAGCTAGCACATGAATTCCAAGCTCGAAACGTCAAGATGATCGCTCTCAGCTGTGATTCTGCTGAATCTCATCGCCACTGGATCGAGGATATTGTTGCCTACGCTAAGGATCCAAATGTTACCAACAAGGTACATATAGGTCATTTTTAAAATCGTGACGACGAGTTTGACTGCGGCCTTTGCGCACGCAGGAGCATAAAACACCCATAGAAACAGACATCATCTCAACGCTCAGCTCAGTCACTTCGCTATCAGAACAATATCTTATGTAAGCAGAAAAACCATTCGAGTAGAGATAGAAACCAAGAAAATTCGGTTGCTTGAGTTGCGTGCGTGTCGCGCGCGGTTCACGCCATCGTCACAATTTTTAAATGCCCCATACTTTTTGCGTGTAT